GGGCGGTTCAGAACCCCCTCGTCCTGCAAAAGAGGAGCTGCCCCTCCTCAAGGGGGGTCTCTCCCAGGCTTCTTTGACCATGGCAACATCCCCTTGCTCCCCCCAAAACCAAGAGTTAGCCTAATTAGCCTTTGCAATTAGCCAAAAAACCTTTGCAATTAGCCAAAAAACCTTTGCAATTAGCCAAAAAACCTTTGCAATTAGCCAAAAAACCTTTGCAATTAGCAAACCCCCAGGTTCAGGCTGGTTCCAGCTGCGTTCAGGGGCACCAGTGGAATTTTCTTTATTCTGCGTCTCCAACGCAAAAACTGGCACAAACCATGGAATTCCCTGATCCCGTTGGGAGGAGCTGAAGGTCCCCGAGCGGGGATGTCTCACCCGTCAGAAGAACCTTCTGAGGAAACCGTCACCCGCTGGGTTGAGAGAATAATTTGGGTCTAAAGCCACCAGACGAAGTAGGCATCGAGCGCAGTGGCAAAACCGAGCCTGCCAAACCGTGGCAAGAGAGGGGGCGAGGTTTGGTTCCAACCCCAGCTTGGGGCTCCTCACAGATTTCAGGTCAAATTTGGAGAGACGCCTCCTCGATCTCCCCAGGGTTGGAGTCCTGGGATGGGCAGGAGGGCGCGACGGCGGTCGAGCGGCCGGAGGAAGAGCTGCCGAACATCTCCTGGGAGGCGTAGGTCAAGTAGAGGAAACCGTCCTCGTCCTTGTGGTCCTGGTAGAGCTCCTGCATGGTGACGGCCATGTTGGGCAGCCCCTTGTTGTTCTAGAAGGTCTGGGAGGAGGCCAAGCAGAGCCGCGTCCTGCCGAGAGGAAGGCGAGGACAGTGCTGGGGACACGGGCTCCCTCCCCTCCAGAGGGAGAGATGGAGGGAAGGAGGGATGGGTGGAGGAAGGGACGTTCCCTCTCCTCAAGCTTCAGCATCCCCTCCCCAAAAGCTCCCTGAGGCCCAACCTCCATCCCAAGCTCTCACCTCTCCTGGCTGCAGACGTTGGTCCTT